TAGAAATGGCAGCTACCAACACTTATTAAAATATTGAAAAAATGCCATAATATTGTGTGACAGTGTGTGTTTTGTGTGTGTGAGGGAGATTTTGCAAGTTCGTTTGTATCCTTCCTCTCTGCAGTGACACATTAGGACTGATATGACATACTGAAATTGCTGAAGTGTAGCAGAAAAATAAACTACATTTGTTTTCCTTGTCAATCAGTAGGAACAAAGCAAATAAACTATGTGAACAAGAAAACCCTCTTTTTTTCACCTGGTCATTTAAGGGTAGGGCAGTGATCTAGAGCCTGTTCTGGAAAAACAGTATATTATAACCACTAATTTTATTTATTTTAACAATAACATCCAATCACATATTTGTTTGAATATTGTGGTATAGAATAGTGACTAATCACTTGGGAAAATGGATGAAGTAAGTTGACAATATTCTGAATTACTGTCTATTTTTCCTTACCGATGATAATTTAAAAGAGTCATTCCATCACAATCATTAATGTGGATATGGTTTATATAAATAAAAAGTGCACATGTACCTACTTAGAAAGTATATGTACCTACTTTGAAAGACTGGGTTACTGTAGTGCTTCATCTGGGAAATCTTCCTGATAATACCCAAGATGCCAAAAAGTCTAAAGTGTATACAATATTAGATGCAATGTGGATTGAGACTCATGGCTATGTGAAATTTCCATTTTTCTATTTATTGTTGATGCTTCTCACCTATAGCATAGACTCAAACAAACAAAGCTTTGCAGATTTTAAATAGTCTCTGTGACCTGAGAAAAATTACCTGAAATAGAATAAAATAAGATACATTTATTTCATGTAAGATTACAGAGCTGCAGTTCTTGCAAGCTGATATAGGAACTGGTTTCTGCAGGAGCTAATCAGGTATCTGTGGTTGCCATCTTCTTCCTCTTCCCTTTGGCTGAAAATGCTTTTCACTGGTCTCTGCACCTAGTTGCAGGAGCTAAACTGGTAGAGAACTAACCCTAAAAGAAGGGAATTTTTTCTTCCCGTTCAAATTCCTGGCTTACCATCTTTACTATCAAATGACAGTGTTCATGCAAGCAGGGGATGAAAGAATGCTGGAAAAGAGACAAGGGATCTTCTTTTGCTTCCAGTAGCTCTTAGTCATTAGATGGATTCAACTGTATCACCCAGCTGTGCTGATGTCTTTGCAGAGAGCATATAATAGAGCCTTTTTGATGATTTCCCCTGCTATTTATATGTGCCTACTGCAATGATGGGGATCCTGAAGATAGAAACATAATAAAGCTGTGACTTTATTTTTTGAGTTCTTGGCAACATGATTTCTTCCTCTTTGTTAATGCCCAGTGTATGTGTTGAAGCATGATCTGTGCTACTTTCAGGAAAGAAAAGATTCAAATGACTGAGCAGATGGGTGACAGAATTGAACATCAATTTTTAGTTTAAGTGTTGAGTGTTTTTAGTTTGTCTTTAAGTGTTGAGGCTAGGAAAGGTGACCATGGTGAATGATGCTATTCAGAAGATTTTCTTGACTTAATGCAAGGTTTGCATTCCTACACTAAATACCTTATATTCATATTTTTGAGTGGAATTACAAAATAACAATCTTGAGTAGTAACTTCCCTTCTTCTCTGGAGTAATCTTCCCACAGAAGCAGAGGAGTAAGGTAATAACTTAGAGCCAGATGTGACTGAAATTTTATTCACCTGAAGGAAAGAAATATAAAGCTACTATGAAGGAACAAGAAAAGTTTTATCTAAAATGAAGACTAGTAATTGTTTAGTTTTGTTTTTTCCCAGGAACATGATACTGATCACTGAAGTTTCTAGTTCTGATTTATGAGATAGGGATTGATGATTTCACTACATGAAAAAAATCTGGAAAAGCGGCATGTTAATTACAGAATATGGCATTAATGGGTGAGATAGGGTTATTCCTGTTTTCCAAGTTGCACTCTCATAATACAGTGATAGATCTTCTGGAACATAATTTTTATGTATATTATGTTATGTACAATCATCAGGAAAACTTTGCAACCTTTCTTCAGTTCCTCTCCACTCTGATAGCAGGAAGGACTGCTTGCATTAGCAGCAAATGAAATACTGTTTGCAGTGGTTTTGAATAACTAATTTCTGTGGGATTACAGAAATGACATTCGGTTCTTCAAGCAATTTCTGCAAAGCAAGCAGCCTACTTTGAAATCTGTGCTAGGATGAAAAGAAACAAAACCAAAATGTGAATCTCCCAAAGTATTATCCCCCTTTTGTGGAATGATCCAGTGGCTTAATGAGGTTAATTTGTTTTAGGTTGTGTGGAATCCTTTATCTACTATATAGAAGCTTTAATTTCACATAAATGTGACAGATCCTGTACTTGCTGCATTGGGACTTAATTATTTGATAGCATAAAGACCTGAAATCCCTACTTTTCCTCTCAAGGAATTTTCATGGCATTTTCTAGATAGCAAATAGAAACTAGACAATGGTTAGCCTAGATTTCTCAATGTTTGAAATATTTTTGTATATTTTTCTAAGGTGTTTTTGCTTTATACTCAGAAAATTTCAAAGCATCTTTATTAAATATTCCCAAAATACTATTGCTAGTATGTGGTTATTTTTTGTTCTCTTCCTTTTTTCATATATATTTTCATCCTTTGAAATGCTTTTCTGTATTGTATGTGAATATGACTGTTTGGTTTCATTGTACTTTTTTTCCATAAGTCTTACAATGCCTGATTTTCTCCTCCTAATTACTGCAAAGGAGGCATTCAAAATTTTTGTTTCCGTGTGAAAATTTCCCTCACAGAATTTTACAATAGCTCTTTTAACTGGCTTCCATTCCTGATGGCTACTTTTGTACATTGTGCTTAGTTTTCCCTTAGTGGTTGTATTACGGCATTTGTGTAGACACAGTAAAGCAGTATAAAGTTATATGATAAGAGAGTGAGGACACAAAATTTCAGGATCAGTGACACAGAGAATACAAATTGAAACTAATAAAGTGAAAAAGTAAGTGGTTTGAAGTTCTTATCCTACCACTAAATTTACTTTCTTTTGTAGATTCTGTGTCTAGGGTTTTTTATGTACCTTTCATAAAATGAAATTTAGTGAATTTGTGTTAGAATGAGTGAATATAAGGTATGTAATTTCTATCAAAATCAAGGTTAATGTGAACCTGCAAAAGCAGGATATGTTTGTTCTACTATATATTACACATACTCAATATATCCCAGGATAATTTTTTTTTCTATTCACAAATAAAGACCTTTACAAGTGTTTTATTGAGAAAAAATTGAACATATTTATTTAAATTGCTTTATTGGCATGTATACCAGTGGAATTGTTTGGAAAAGAATTAAAAGTAATTTTTGGGGCAGCCTGTGCTAGTAGCTGTAAAAATATTTACTAAATGTCATTAAAGGTATAAAATAACAGAGATTGCAAAGTTCAGGCTGATAGTACGAATTACTTTATTCATCCTCTATTGAATTAAAAATTACAGTTATAAAGTGAAGAAAATCACTGTTTGTGTATAAAGAGATTTTTTTTCCTCCTAGATTTTTGATTTAAATATAACATTTCAGCATATCAGAATATGATGGATCATGGGTTAATTGCTTGCATTGTGTTATATAATTTCAGCTGCAGCCCAGCATGATGTGGTCGAGTATAATCAAACCTGACATGTACAATACATTGAGTGATGACAAAGACCACAGACTGTTCACTGGAATTTGTTACACTGAAAAATGCATAATTCCCCAATGAAATGTTTAGCAGTTTATGTTTTGTTGATGAAGACCCAGAGTCTAATTGCTATCTGTGGGTTTTGCCTCTAGGAAATTCATGGGGTCCATAGCCACATCAATTTCTGTTCCTTCCTCAGGCCTTTTAGGAGGTGACACTGTGAAATAACAATGGAGTGAATCCAGCCATCAGTGTTGGGCTCCTGTTCTAGAGCTTTTTCCTTGTGATATTAAAGATAGCTGAAGCATTCAGTACACAACCTTTGCATAAAGCACACAAAAAATTAAATAGCAGAACTAAGGGACACATAGTGCTTCACATAATTAGTATTCCTGCCCATACAAGGTTGTAGGTCAATATCAGCTAAAGTTCAGATTTTTTTCTCTCTTTCTTCTGATGGTAATGAGCTACCCCCAAGGAATATCTGGCCTTGTATAAGCAAGTGCTGAAAGCTCCGTTAAAACTTTTTCCAAACTCCAGATTCTTTAGTAACTGGCTGCTGAACCAGAAAGGGTATTTTGGTGGCTCTCCTCTCATCAAATTGTTCCTCTCATTGGACTCTAGCAGTATGATTCTGGTAATCAGCTAGAGCAGCATGAATGGAAGTGATAGGTACAGATATGGAATAATGAGGATTGTCCTGCTGTCTCCCTTGTTTGAAAGATTTGGGTCCCCTTGTTCCCAAACTACCTTTGCAGTGCCAGGCAGAAAAATTTAAAGTGTGTTTCCTTAGTAGATATTATTTCTGGATTTCATTTGAGTGTTTTCCCTGTATCCTTCCAGTTGTTCTCTGTCTGCCTGTCGGAAGGTTTTGGAGCATAGTTTGGAGCATGGATTGTGGAAACATATGCATGTATGGATATTTTAGCATTAATATAATTTCATTTCAAAGTTTCTGCCATAGGGAAAAAGAAAAAAAATATTGATAGAGGTACATGGCTGTTTATGGGAGTCCAGAAATTAGTGTAGTTTCTAGGTTAGTTTTATGTTTCTGCTTCCTGCTTCATTAGTAGATGCCCATATACAGCCTTGTCCAACCGTTCTTCTTTAGCCAGTGTTTTCTGCCTGAGATACTACATTTGGAAAAGAGATCAACTCTCCAGTCTAGTGTTAATACCATTGCACCTCTTACTTCATGTGTGGCAGATTGCCTTACAGAGCCAAGTTTAATGAATTTCAATTTAAAAAAACTCCAAATGAAACAATATGATGTTACTTCTCAAAGATATCAAATTGTACATATTTTTATTTTCACAGCTCACCATGTTAAAACTGGGACCTGTGAAGTGGTGGCGCTTCACAGATGCTGCAATAAGAATAAGATAGAAGAAAGATCACAGACAGTGAAGTGTTCCTGCTTCCCTGGGCAGGTAGCAGGTACCACCCGGGCAGCTCCTTCTTGTGTTGATGGTGCGACTCCTTCTATTGCTTCCTTTCTTTGTGTTTCTGGGAGTTTTTGCTGGCTTAAGGTCATTAATGAGACCCACTCCATGACAGTAAACTATTTAAAATAAGAGTAGGAAAGCTTCTGCATTTTGCAGGGGGTGTCCAAGGTGAATGGGAGAAAGATGGAAAAATTGATTGTTTGTTATTGCTCTGTGGAAATGCTAAACAAAACTATTAGATGCCAGCGAAAGAGGCATCTTGAGAGGCTAAATTTGATCTAACTAAAAAGAGGACTCTTGGAGTTGTATGAAATTAACTTACTGAAAAGCATTTATGCAAAACCTACATAAGCATAAAATTTTCATGTGCTACAGTCTCACATGAAACAAGCAAACAAACAGAACACAGTTTGGTCTGGTTTTTAATCTTTTTAGACCTACACTATTATTCCTATTCACAGTGCAATATTAGTGTCTTACTTAGCAATTCTGGTACAGACTCATATGCTTTATTTGGGAAAATACTAGCTGATTTTTCACATCTTTTTCTCTGAAAGAGTGGCAGGATTCACCCTTTACATGATCTCTTTAATGTTGATATGTTGTTGGCTGTCAGAGAAGCTGTAAATATGTCATCATTGGGGAATAAATTTAATCAAGCTATGCTAGGCTATATTATAGACCAAGCAAAAGAAGAGATTCTACGTAAAACTTTGAAATCTGGCTAAGCAAGATAAAAATGAAGTTGAGATGAAATGCTATGAAGAGATTGACTTTGAAGCACACAGCACCTTTTGCAAATTGGAAACCTAATTTCTTCTGAAGGTTCTGAGGTGGCTGAAAATCACAGACTAGTTGTCAGTCAGCATGTTTCTCATATTTTCCTGGAAAATAAAAGAAATGTTGCAGTGTAATGACATCTTAAAGTGTCCATTTCAACAAAATAGAATTACATTTATTTTCTTCTCTTGTAGCTTCAATAGTGGAGCAGAAATGGTGGTGCCACATGCAACCATGTCTTGAAGGGGAGGAATGTAAAGTTCTTCCAGATCGTAAGGGATGGAGCTGTTCCTCTGGGAATAAAGTGAAAACAACTAGGGTAGGTATGATACCAACCTGACATGTTACCAACAAGTAAAAAAAAGAGAGGTGCACAGGAAATTGTGTGCACAAAGAAGATCTAAGCTGAGAAGACTAAAGAAGCATGGGAAGAGAGTTATACTGGGATTGGACTTCCTGGTCCCTCACACTTTTCTCAGCATACTTTTCAATTGTTTGAACATAGTAAGCTGAGTGCCAGCCCTTCTCAGGTAAGCACTGGGTATAGTAGAGTTGATCCCTTCAACTAGCAGTAATGATCAAATGCGTTATAGTCTAATATGTATTTCTCTCTCAAATCAGTTGCACTATTTCTGTACACTTTGCTAACCTCTTCATTCAAAGGATTGCAAACCAGCATTTTTTTCAGTTACATGGAATTACCACGTTTCTACATAGAAACTGCTGAGCATGGTAAGCAGTTGATGTGTCATTACATATGACCTGGTCCTTTCTATCTTGTATAACTGTGATTTACTAAAAAATTTTGACAGAGTTTTAGGAAATTCCTTTCCTCCAGTTGACACTTTTCATATTATTGGTTCAAATATGTGTTAACAGAAATATATTTAAAGGTCATATACAATGCCTGCCAACAAAATAAAGACACTGTCAACTTTGCATTTTAGTGGCTAACAGAAAAAAAAGAAAAATAAATTCTTCAGATAAGCATTAAACACACAAACTTCCTAAAATTACGGCATTGTATCTTGTCAGGGTCAACACAATTCTTCATCAACATATAAAAAAAGAAAATGTACTCTGAAGACACATATGCTTGTGTTTAAGTATAAACACCTTCCCCCCTGCACCCCAGCACACGTACTCGTGACTGGTTTTACTTTTATGTATTTAATAGTTAGTAATGTCAGGCCATAATATGCTAAATTGGTGTTTACTCTAAACAGGTGTTTGAGTAGCTATGTAATTTTATTGAAATACTCCTTACAGAGGCACTAAATTTCTGATACACTTTGGTTGTGGTGAAACACAGCAGGCACTGACTGAATTATATTTCTTCTGGTCCACAGAGAGCTCTCTATGTCTCAGTTTCTGTATTTATAAGGCTCCAAAACATTTTGACATTCTTTGAAGGAAGGATGCTTCCTAAATGTTTGCTTAACAGTTCCCTTCCTGAATCCACTTCTGGATGTGTTCTGAAGATGACCTTGCTGGAATGCTGCCCTCACTTAACTCTGTACATGCCAATGCAAATCTGATTATATGCATGTAAAAGTATGTGCATATAGAATATAATCATAAGGAACCAGATAGATGTATAATAATAATAGAAATAGAAATAGAAATACAAATAATAGACATAGAAGTAGAAGTAGAAATAGACATAGAAATAGAAATAGAAATAGAAATAGAAATAGAAACAAAATTGTGAGTGTTTTGAAATTTTTTCCTGGTTACTACTACATGACACTACTAGTGTTACAGAATACTTGCCATTGTATATGTATTGAGAGGGTTTAACAAATGGCAAGTAAAAATATGGACCTGGATTATATTTCTGTAGGAAAAAAAGAGGTCACACAAGGGGGAAAAACAATTATGATTGCTTTGATGAGGTTTCTTCTTCAAAATTTGTCAGAATATAGGTTTTTCTGCATTGGTTGAAGTGATTTTTTCCAGTGCTAGGGATCTAAAGAAGCCCAAGGCTCCTGTCCTCAGGAGGTTATGCCTCTGTGTTGTTAGACTTTTAGGTTTGTCTCTTTGCAGCAGCTGGAATTTTCTTGTTCTTCATGGTGGGGGCAATCCTCAGGATTCATTTCATACCTCTTCCATAATGATGCTTGGGAAAAGCCAGTCCTTTTCTATATTTGCTCTCATAAACACTTACTCAGTACAATGGCTACCATAACCTGCTTACAGACCTAACACCACTGAAAGGAAAATACTAGTCACCTTAAATCCCCACTATTTGTTCTGCCTGCCAGTTTGTCCAGATGCTGTATGATTTCCTCCTTTCCCTTTCATTTCCCACAGAGCTGCAAGGCTATTTTGAGACAATAGCAAACTTCAATTCAAATTTCTGACTGCAAGTTGACCTAAGTCATTGAAACCAGGTCAGTGACAGGAGAATGAAGGTCTCTCTTTCAGAATCAACAACCTGTGATTTTAAGAGACATCATTCTGGTGGCCAGTAAAATATATATTGCTACTAGAAATATGTATGGTTCTTTGTGTTAACAGAGTAGCTTATTGTCAAAGGGCAAGTAATTTTCCCTAATATATAGTCAATATCATATTTTTGTAGCTCCTCTTTCTGTTCCCCAAGGCCTATATAAATAAAAGGAAAAAATTCTAAATTGTTCTTTTTTTTTTTTTCCAAATTCCTCCCCCTTTTCTTTTGAGAAAAATAAAAAATAACTCTACAGAGGCAGAATTAAGAAGTTATGAATACTAAGTTTCTGATTGTCAAATGAAATAACCCATATGTGATTATCATGTATAATGTAAAAGCATAAAGTAACAAAGGGAATGAAACAGCTTGGGTGATTTAAGTAAATTACGGAAAAACCTTCTCAAGGCTTTCCTGAAAGGGCAAAAAAAAGTTTCTCTTTATGTGCAAACATTTTCTGTAAGTTTGCCTTCTTCATGTGCCAAAATCCTAACCCAATTACCTGCTGGAGTACTATTTCTGCAGGATACCAAATTGAAAAGTAGCACGTACATTTCCACATGTTGAGCTGTTAATAGTTAACCTCTATGTTAGAAATAAAAACAGTGGAGAAAGGAGGTAGTTTGCTTGTCCACCTCTGTTTGCATATTTAATCTTGCTATTGTAAAAAATTATGATGCTGACTTCCTAATAGTTATGGTATCAGTCACTATGCAAAAAAAGTCAGATAAAAAATGGCACAAAACTAATTGTTTTTTAAAAATGAGGTCTACTTTGTATTTTGTTCAGTTATATGGATCTAATAAGGTCATACATGAATAATGAATTAAAAGTACTCAGAATTCAAATGTTAAGAAATATAATTTGGAAATTATTTACTTTTAGAATACAAAACCAGGTATTATTTTCCTAATTTGTTTGCATATTAATGGGAAAAGGCTGATATTAAGAATTAACAATGGAAAAGAACTGAATATAGGGAAAAAATGTGTATGAATGAGTACTGACTATTTTGGGTCTATGCAGCCTGCAGGAGAGGAAGGGAGAAAAAGTCACTGACAACTTAGGTAAATCAGTAAATTTTTTTACTTCATATAAAGAAATATGGGCTTGTGTTCCCAGTCATAATACCACAACAAAAGAGGATGTTCATGAATACATTAGAAGAATTATGTGATGATTATGTGCAGAGCTACAATTTTACCAGTCATGCTTGGGCATTCTCCTCCAGGCTGAGAAACTGTTGTGAAAGGAAACAATTGCATTTTTTTCCCCACATGGTTAGTCTCAATTTTTGGCACATAAATACAAAAATTTTGTCATATTGCCCTCTTTAAATGATAAGAAAAGAGTTTAAAAAAAGTGAAAAATCCTTTTTTTTTAAATTAGAAAATTTAAAAAAATTTCTTCTACAGCCTCTTTCTTCTAGATTTTTTTTTTTGTGTTTCCTTTCTCTTCTTGCAATACAGGAAAGGGTCTGTGTTAAAAAAAAAGTTGAAAAATATGTTGTTGTTATGTATAAAACTGCGAATGACATTTTAAAAATTCTCTGACTTTTATCAAACAGACAAGCCTTTTACAAAGACTGAAAACTAATGTTTTGCAGTCAGATAACAGCTGAAAAGAACAAATTAAATGTTTCTCTTAGTTGTGGGATATATTCCACATGAGAGGTCTCTCTCTGGATAGGGCTTTTCCCTGGGCAGATCTAGATGCCAGCCTTTATTTGTATTTTTAAAAAGAGTACATTTCCTGCTATCTTTGCTATACAGGCAGGCTTTATGTAAAGTGCTCCAGTGCCTACTGGGGTCCCAGTTCTCCAGGCATCTCCCCTGGGACTAGCTTGGAACATGCCATGGCTCCTGGGCAGCTCATAGACCTGTGTGTCTTTCCTGCAAAATTTAGAGAAAAAGAACAAGGTAAAGTGGTGTATCTTGAGATTCTGGAAGTGGAACATGACTGAAGAAGAGTGTACTTGCTGCAGGAAGTGGAAGAGTGTTCCTGGGCTGATATTTTATGAACATGTAGAGAAATATGCACTGGTATTTTTCATGAGAAAAAGTACAGAAAAAAATAGGTTACTTCAGCTGAAAGGGACCTACAATGATCATCACATCTGGTGACCTGACCAATTCAGGGCTGATCAAATTAAAACATGTAAATAACAGCATTGTCTAAATGTCTCTTAGACAGAGATAGGCTTGGACACCTCTCTAGGAAGCCTGTTCTAACCTTTGACCATTTTCTTGGTCAAGAAAAGCTTCCAAGTGCTCAGACTAAACCCTCCCTGGTGCAGCGTTGAGCCATTGCACAGTAATTAAATGGTACCTTGCCCTCAGTCTTTTAGTTTTATTTGAACTGCCTGTGGAATGAGGCGTAGTTTAATACTAAATTGTGGTTAAATTATGTGAGGTAGAATTTACTGGACTTTGCTTGGGTTAGGACTCTCTAGAGTGAGATAACTAGCCCAAGCTCTAGACTTATTTTTTTTACTTTTAGATAGAGTTGTTCAGTTCCAGAGGACAATTGATTTTGTTCTAAGATGAGTCTGATGAATTGTCTTCTGGAGGTGCTTATGTTTCTCAAATAATCTAGAGGAAAACTACCATGACTAACTTAGCCCCTAATGTTTAGATATTTAATGTTGACTAGGAAGCAGCTAGCTTAGATAATTTAGTCACTTTGATGTGGCCTTCAGCAGGAAGATGACCATAAAGTCCTGTTCATTCTTTGTCAGTTTGGGAAGCTTTGGACTTTGACCTCTATCTAATGGAATATAATATAATAAGAGCTTAAAAAATGCTTATATTCTGAAGGTGCATGGCTATGAGCTAAATTAGTGACTCATGCTATGATGAGCAACATGTTCA